TATTATATACCTTAATAATATCCTTATTTACTTTAAAAACTTAAAAAAACATAAGGAATATATTAAAAAGGTATTATAAATACTTTAAGATAATAAACTCCTAGTAGAACCTAAGAAATATAACTTTTATATATAAAAGGTTATATTTTTAGAATATATTATTACCCTAGGTAAAGTTTAAATAAACCCTAAGAAACTTAAGGTAATTAATAATTAGGAACTGCTATAAAATGTTAAGTAAGTATAAAGCTTTTTAGGACTTACTAATTACTACTAACGCTTTATTAAGGACTTCTTAAAAATTACTTTATTACTTATAGACTTAATAAAAAAAGATACTAAATTTAAATTAATATAAGATGCTTTAACAGCCTTTAAATACCTTAAATAAGCTTTTATAAGTATACTAGTATTTATAATATTTAACCTAAATAAACCTATTATAATTAAAACTAATACCTTAGATTATATAATTAAAGAAGTACTTAGTTAATTAAATAATATAAAGAAAAAAAAGCTTAGGCCTATTACCTACTTCTTTAAGAAATTATATAAATTAAAACTTAAATATTTTATTTATAATAAAGAGTTTATAGCTATATATTAAACGCTTAGTAAATAGTATTAAAAATACTATTATAAAGGAAGTTAATTTTTAATAATAATCTTTATAAACTACTAAAATATTACTTACTTTATAATAATATAAAAACTATTTTATAAATAAGTTAAATACTATAAGTAACTCTCTAAATTTAAGCTTACTATTAAATACTATAGCAGATTAGATAATAAATGTACTAATATACTTAGCAGGTGCCTAAACTACTTCTAAGAAATCCCAGAAGTTAAGGTATAAATACTAAAGAAAAACTAGTATAAAGACTTAATTATCTAATTAATTAATACCTTATACTAAATTAAGATAAATAACCTAATTATTAATAATATAAAGAAATACGTTAAAAACTAGGAAAATAAATAATACTTAAAAGGTATTTTTATAAATATTAAATACCTAATACTAAATAGACTTATCTAAGTACCAGAAGACTTACGAAGTAAAGTAGTAAAATCAGTCTATATACATAAGCTTAACGAATACTATAAAATCAGAAAAACTATATAGTAAATTATATAATACTTTAAATTTAAAGGTATTAAGAAATAGGTATAGAAGGTTATATTAAAATATATAATATATAAATAAGCCAAAAGCTTTAAGTATAAACCCTACGGACAGCTATAACTACTACTTATACTATAATAACTATAGGAATTAATTTTATTTAACTTAATTACTAAACTACCTCCTTTAAAAAAACTAGTTATAAAGGTACTTTATAATAGTATTTTTATAGTAGTTAATAAACTTACAAAAATAACCTACTTTATATTATTTAAGGAAGCCAGTAATACAGAAGAATTAGCTTACGTAAGAATAAGATATATTATAAGTAACTATAGACTATTAGGAGATATAATTTTTAACACAGGAAATATATTTATATTTAAATTCTAAAAAGTACTTATAGCTAAACTAAGAATAAATTATAAGGCTAGTATAACTTACTACCTATAGACAGACGGATAAATAGAAAAGATTAACTAAATAATTAAGACTTATTTACGCTATTATATTAATTTTAAGTAAAACAACTAAGTAGAACTCCTCCCTATTATATAACTTATATATAATAATATAGAATTTAAATTAACTAAGAAATTACCATTCTTCCTAAACTATAGATTTAAACCTAAAGCCTACCGACTACTAAGGCAAGGGGAAAATATTAAAAAAGCTATAATTAAGGCAGAAGATATAATTAAATTATATAATAAACTGCGACGATAATTTAAATTTATCTAATAAAGGATAATTAAATATGTAGATAGAAATAGGATTAAAGGACTAACCTTTTAAAAAGGGGATATAATCTAGCTCTACTAATATATATAAGGAAATAAGTAAGTAAATATTAAAATAAATAGGCTAAGTAATAAACTTGATTTTAAAAAACTAAGACCTTATAAAATTTTAAAAAAAAATTAAAGAAGTAAACTATAAACTTAAACTTCTAAAATAATAGGAAAAATAAGGGAAATATATATATTTAATATTTTATATCTCCTTATTAAAAAAAGTATAAATTAATAAAGAAATTAAAAAATTTATCTAAGATAAAATTATTATTAAAGAAAAGGAAAAAGAATATAAAGTAAAAGATATTAATATAATAAAAATAGGAGAAAATAGTAAATAATACTATAAAGTATAATAAAAAAAAGAGGAAGAAAAAAAAGAAATATAAAAACTTATTAAGTATCTTAAGAACTTAATAGCACTAGTGGAAAAACTTTACTAAAGCCTAGGGATTATACTAGCTTAGGGTTTATTAATAACATCCTTAAATAATTTACTAATTCTAAAGAAGTAAGGATAACCTTAGAAAAACCCTTTACTAACTATATTATAGTAGCCTAAAGAGCAGCCTTTACCTTACGCTCCTTCTATTTTAACTACTCTAACTCTGCTAAATTATTAATACTTTAGGATACTATATATACTACCTTTTTAAACTATTCTTTATATTATTTCTAAAGATAAATAACTTTAGCTATAAGATTTATAATTTCCTCTTTAATAACTTTAACTTTACTATTAAGCTAGTTATACTAACGGAAAATATATAATAATTATTAAAGTATAAAAAATACCTTATAATAAGATTTATAATCCTTAATATACTTTAAGCAGCAACTTAAGTTAACCTTGGAAGCTAAATATTAAAATCCTTTTTTTTCGTAATAAAAGCAGGGTTTTATTTTAATAGATTATAATAATATAAAAGCAGTAAGGGCTATACTTTTATTAAGTTTCTTTTTCTTTCCTTTTATATTAGCTAAGTTAGTAGATTTTTAAACGTAGAAAGTTATTTTAGTAATAAATAGGTAATAGAATAAAAAAAATACTTATAAGTAGAAGGTATAAATACTTATATACTAAATTACCTAGTCTTAGGGATAAGACTAATAGGAGGGGAGAATTATATTATAACCTAGCTCTTATAATTATAATAAGGGGCCTATAGGGTAGGCACTCCTAGATTAACGTTAGGCTACGTAGCTAATTAAAAAGCAATTAACGGAAATTAACGTTAATTCTAATTAATGTAAAAATAAATTAATTAAGATTATAAATAATTTTACTTAACTTTAGAATATATAACTAAATATATAAGTTTACTTTATATTACTTATTAAAATACTTAAATAACTAGTTATTATTATAACGTTTATAATATAATTAGATTAGAACTTAGACATCTACTCTTATTTATATTACTAGCTAGTGATAAAATTACCTATTTACCGACCTGATTGCTCCGCCAACATAAACCATAGAACTACTCTAAGGTTCGTCCCTTAGGAACAGCTAACCTATAGTACCTATAGGACCAGGTTCGTCACAGTAACTAGTAAACTCTAATACCTAGTAAAATAAAAAGAATACAATAGAAACATAGACAGCTAAAAACCAGAAAACAATTTCAAAAACGCTAGCATTACCCTAAAAATCTTCTAAAATAAACTCCGCAAGCAATTACAAATATAACAAAAATTAATACAGAAAAAACCTAAACAACCTACAAAACCACCTAAGATAACAATAAGGGAACACCTCCTATTAAAGTAAGAAGATCAGGATCTAAAGACCCTAAATTAATATTAAAAAAGAAATTAGCATTAACAGCCTCTAAACCCAGAGTTACGGAATTAATTAAATTAGGTAATAACGTTTTAGCCTAACGTAAGGCCTCCGCTTCCGTATACTTAATCTTATCTAACTTATCTAAGTTATTAATACCCTATGCAACGGTGTATATTATCTTTTAATACTATTATTTCTTTTCTTTATAAAAGTATTTAACCTTTACATTAGCTAAATAAAAGTATTTAAACTTTTACTTATACTTTTCTTTAGCTACTTTAATTTCTACTTTTAATTTAATATATTAAGCAGCTACCTTACGAAACTACATAAAAGAAAGCTGTTTAGTATTATAAAGTAACTTTTAACTAATAATATAAGCTAAATAATAAAAAAATTCACCCTTTAAAAAAAAATACTCTATACCTAAGAATTTATAAATAAAATATTTATTTATTTTAACTAAGTAAAATAATATTAATAAGTAAAGGTTACTATACTACTTTTACTTATTAATTTTACACTCCTTAGATTTAGTTAGTATAATTACAATAATTAAATATAGAATAAATAAAAAATAAAGGAAACTAAGTAAAGACTTATAAAAAAGGAAGTAAATTACTTATACTATAAAAAGTAAGGTCTTAAGGATAAAACTAACAAAAGGGAGACATTATATTACAACCTAACACTTATAGTCGTAATAATAAGCTAATTAACCAAGTGCAACCGAATTAACTATAATCTAAATAGCTAATTAAATTACGCTCATCTTACTTATTTAATAAACTTAGCAAGCTTATACTCTTTATACTTATCTTATAAGCTGCATAAGCCCAGAAATACAACTAGATATATAAGTTCACTTTATATCACTCATTAAAATAGCTTAGATAACTAATTATAAATATAGAATAACGCTTAATTATACCTGTTTATTAATCTACTGGTTGTTCAGCTGTAATAATACGCTAATTACTAGTAAACTGCTGATATACATAAACCATTTAAAGTTAAATAACGCAACCTAAAATAATTATTTTAATTAGTTTATTCTAAACCTAAGTAGGGCCCGTTAGCATAGGTTAAGTATATTAGATATATAAACTAGGGTATAGTTAAGGAAAAGGGGTATACTTTATATAAGTAAAGCAGGGCTGTAGTAAATAAATATATAGTTTTACTTTCTATACTTAAATATTAATTATAAAGCAGCTTCTTAAGAATAAGTTTATTAATTTTTATAATTTATATAGCTTATTACTTTACTTAAAATACTATATTACTTTCCTACCTTTAGAAAGTTTTATTAAATCTTATTTTTGAGGAAAGTATAAGCTAATAATAGCTAAATTAAAAATTATTACTAATTTTTATTTCTTAATTAACTTAAATATTATAATAAATAATCTACAGTTAGTTAAGCTCTTAAGTAACTATAGTCTGCCTATTAGCTGCTTATAAAGCTTTTAAAAATATAGTTATAATATATACTTATATTAAATAATAAATAAGAAGAATACTATTACTTACTAGACTTACAGTAAATATAAGCTTAGTTTAGGTAAAAAGGGGTAGAAGGCTATTATACTATAAACATTTTTACAGGGTAGATACTCTAGGTATTAAATTATTAATATAAATAGCTAGTATAATAGTATAATTAGCTGCTGTAATATTATAAGATAAGTCTAGCTAATACAGAGATAGGTAATAAAAATAATAATAATAGTAGTAATTATATTACTATATTAGTAAAAATAGCTAAGGTTTATAAGCTAGATATAATAAAAGAAGAGAAGAAAGGACAGCAGCTTATTAAAACACCAGGCAGGGTAAATATAGATTTAAGATAGGTTAAGTTTATAAAACTTACTTATTATCTAAAATAAAAGAACTAGAAGGTACTTTATAAAATAGCTATATTAGCAGCTATAAAAGTCGTTAAAACCTAATAGTATTAGTAAAAGGGTTAGGGTTAGGGTTAGGGTTAGGGTTAGGGTTAGGGTTAGGGTTAGGGTTAGGGTTAGGGTTAGGGTTAGGGTTAGGGTTAGGGTTAGGGT